GTGGGGGGGCGTCCCATGGGCTGCCCTCAGGGATGCCCCCGAGGGACCACGGCTGCCCCAGACTGGAGTTGAGGGCACTCCTGAGGGACCGCAGCCACCCCAGGCCAGAGCGAGGATGTCCTTGGGGGACTGGGACCAGTGGAGGAGGAGTCGTCCGTGCTGGGACAGGGGAAATCAAGTGGAGCAGCAAGGAGAAGGGGAAGGACAAACGAGAAGCGAGGAGGAGCAGACAAAAACTATCTCCCACACAACCCACAGCCTCCTGTGCTGCCTGTTGCCTTGCCAATGGCATTGGGGTGGACTTGAGTGTAAGGCACGGCAGAAACAAGGGAAGTTAGACTAGGAAAGCGGGGGGAGAAAAGATGTTTGGCTGAAGTTGTGCCTTGGGAAGGGGGAGGAAAAGAGTTTCCCTCAGTGTTTGCTGAACTGCTTAGTCTCCTTTTTTTCCCTTCAACTCCTGAAACAGTAATTAAAAGTGCATTAATTGGCAATAAATAAAGTAAAATAAAGTAAAATTCCCTGAGTTGAGATTGTTTTGCCCACAACGTACAGACAACAAATTCTGGGGATTCCTGTACTACTTTTCCAGTTTTTGAGTCCTTGGGGTTTTCCTTAATCACCTTTACAGCTTTGCTTTTGAACTTTGGAAGCCTAGAAATAGATCCTTTAAAACAAACAAACAAAAAAAATCTGAAAGCTGAAATTTTTATGTGATGATGAGACTTTGGAGAGGAGAGCTGGCTTTAGGAAAAATTCCTAGTATTGCAGGAGACACGATAGAATCGCCAGAGTTGGCAGCCCTGCTGTGTTGCCTCTCCTCTCAACTTCTGCAGCCTTCCCTGCTTGTGTTGGTCGTCTCCTTCACCATATTGATTTTTACAGTGTAATCTACTCGGAGCAAGCGTTTTGTCTATTACGCACTTGTAATGCACCACACATGCATTACTATAGAAATAATCTAATATAAAGTGCCTGGGATTTCAAGTATCGAGCGGTTCGTAGCCAAAAAAGCATTTGGCCAAAAAAACCTGCGTTTTTGTGCTCCCTCTGCTGGATCTGGAAGAGCAGGAAATATTCACCAGCTGGAGCGTCGCCCGTTCCCCTCCTTGCTCTTCCCCGATTCACACCCGGCAGCTCCCTTATCGGGCGCCGGTGGGTATTTGCGGGAGGGACTTGGTGCTTCCCAGTGTCCGCTCATGCAGCTGCGTCACGGGCCATGAACCGGGTATGAATGTGAAAAGGGTGGAGATTGCGCGGCATAGAGTTGTGCCGCAGCGAGGCCGTGGTTTCACACCTGGGAAGGGTGGCTGATGCTGGGTTTAAGGTGTTTCCAGTTACCTCCTCTTCCTCACCCATCTATTCTCATTTTCAGGTGTAGCCCACTACCCCCAAACTGTGCCAGTGAGAGTGTTTTGGGGATCTTCCTAGAAATAGAATGAGAGAACGGATCAGGCTTTAATAAAAAGCTGACTTTTATTTTTAGAAACTGATTCCAGTTCAGAGCAAAACCCTGTGAAGTGTGCTGGCAGAGCTGGGGCTGGCGTGAGGACATGGGAACAGGCTGGGGCGGCGGTGGGGGAGATGGTATAGCCCCTCAGCAGGTTGCATGGTGAAACCAGGGAGCAGACACTGGTGGGGACAGTGCTAGTGTCCTTAGAATAAGCTTGGGCCTGATTTGCGAAAGGGGTGGATGGTCTGTAATGTGAATTCACAGAAATATTAATGGGATAGCCCTTTTAAGAGGTGCTTTATAAAACAAAGTAGGAATTGTGGTGCCAGTTTTACAGATGGGCAGAACTACAGCACAGAGGAGGGGAGCGAAGGGTTGGCTTCGTGTGTTGCAGCAGTGCAGTTTAAGCTGGTTTAAGCAGCCTCTGTTCCTACCCTCTGCCATCATGGCTGATCACTTCTGCCCTCTGCCCGCTCCCTGTGTTGTGTTGGCACAGCTGATTACGAGACAACACACTGAAGGAAATAGTTCCCCCTGATCCAGCTAACCACGGAGCTGCACAAATGCAGGATTGGAAGCAAGCGTCCTGGAGAGAGAAGTGAGAGGTAAAGTTTAAGCTGCCAAGTAAATGCTCCAGCCCCATTTGCCAAAGTCCCATCCCATTGCGCCTGGAATGGTAGCCAGCTCCTGGGGCAGACAGAACAAAAGTTTATCCTTTGGAGGAACAAACTTATTAGTTATTTATCCAACTTCTTCCAACTTCATTAAAGACCCAGTCTGCATTAGCTGAGAAAGTCATGTTAACACATACTAAATCTGAATCAATTAACATGTTTTCCCTGGCTTGTATAAGCAGAACAAAAGCACTTGGGAAAACTTCTGGATGAGAATAAATACGTTCTGGGGGAAAACGTTCACAGTTCAATGAGGCCTTAAAAGCCAGTCGTTCACCCAGGGTGCCTGTCAATACGTAACTTCTCTAAAACTGCCGTTTGTTGTGAGACAAGAAAACCAGCAGAGTTCCTGCCTGAAGCAGACGGTCACTTGGTGGCACTGTACGTGTCGGGGTGGGATGACTGTTTCTAACACATGGCTTTCAGACATGTTTTTATTCTTGGTGAATTATCAGTGAACAGAATAAATATGACTGCAGCACAAATATTGAATGCGACTAACAAGTCATTGAGGTTTTTCCTCCGCATTTTTTAAGTCACCTGTTACTTTAGCATCATACGAGTTGTTACAGAAGTGTCGGCTCCCACAGCTAGTCCTTGGGGAGGAACCCGGACTGGCCGTGAATTGTGTGCCTTGGTTTTTTCCCATAATACTTGCTTTTTCATGTTTGATGGAAAATTCTTTTGCATGGAAGTTACTTGGAAGTTAGTCAAAAGAGCAGCAAAATGTAGTCATCGTGTTCCTTCCTTCGGTATTTGCTGAGTAGTATAAGGCTGTAAGGACACCTTGTCTGCCTGCTGAAACAGCATGTAACAAAATACATACTGCCTGTAAACATTCGCCTGTTTCCCTCTGCAGTCTTTCTTTATAATTAAAAAGCATTTCCTAGAAGTCACAGTGCTGTGTCAATGTAATCCATAAACTTGCTTTGTTTTGCTACAGACAGGATGGTGGCTTTGGGGGTATTTTGGTGTATTTGCTTAAGCAGAGTTTGGGGGTTGGTTTATTTTTTTTTAATGGCACTTAGCTCACAACAGTCAGCGAGTACCCTTTATAAAGAGAATAAAAGAGACTTCAGCATGACCTTTAACTGAAAAAAAAAATTACCATTTGGTTCAGGAAATTTTTATATAAACCTCAACAGAATTCTTATTATCTTTTCCTCATCTCACTGTTACAGGCAAGAAAACTTGTAAGACTTAAACTGCTGGAATGAGTCTCAAAAGCTTGGGGGGTGGCAGAGCTGGGCTGGAACCCCGACCCAGCCTCAGGTCTGGTCCTCCAGGCTTGGTCCTGGGACTCCTAAATGCTCTTCATTCATTTCAGGGCTGTTCAGTGAGCTTCTTCAAATGCTGCCGTGTTACGCAGAATGGAATCATGATGTGTCTGTGTTTTTATTGCAGGAAAATGGGTCTTGTTATGTGAGGACGTTGAGGAAACAGTCCCCAGCTACCGAGAGGAAGAAAGGCCGGTGGGACATACTCAGGTAGGAGAGCTTTATGGACCATCAGGCGGCAAAAACACCTGTGGACCTTCAGTCTTTTTCCAGACGCTTCATTGTGTTTTATGCTTTAAGGGCTGATCTGGTCACTATCAAAGTTTTATTTGTTGTTTTAAGAAGCAGTCCTGTTTGGTCAATTGATTGCAACAAGAAGACACTGCAAGCAAAGCCCTCAGCATAAACATTCCTCGGGCTATCCCTGGTACAATATTGATCCTGATACAGAATACAAACAAATTACTCTTTGCATGAGCCATTCGAGATATAAAACAGAGCAATAATAAGTTCTGCTTGCTGCCAATAAATGTGCATTTATAATAAACAAAACAGAAATCCCTGAGTAGAAATGAACAGTACTTTCAATAATGTGTTCAATAGCTCATGTTGTACAGAATTAAAAAAACCCACAGAGTGGGCACTCCAGGGTTTCTGTTGCCTTCTCCCCTTAAGAAAAATAATCTTTGCAAATCTGTTCTGTTGCTGCTTTTGCTTTGTTTTGGGGGTTTTTAGATATTTTAAATATTTTATAAAGCAATAGGTAATCTCATCTTTGCCTTATTTCCAGTGTAGTTCAGGGCTTCTCAAGAATTTGGTCTACATCTTAATTTTCTTGTGCACCAGCTGCCTTTCGTTACGCTGTTATGTGGGTCATCTCCACTTTCACTCCTTGTCATATCCCCGTGGCATTTCCTTATATTGGGAAGGAGCACTAAAGACATTTTCATATATTTGTAGTTGTTTTGAACGCAGCTGAAATTAGTGGGGGGAGGAGTCAGTACCCTTGTGCCCATCACCACTGAGAGTGCATGGATGATAACTGAACCCATTTCCAAAAGGAAAAAAGTTAATGATCATCAGAACGTAGATTATTTTATTTTTTTTTAATCTGCTCTACCATGCTCATATAATCCTCTTCCCCCTCATCCATATTTTCAGTGCTGCACTTTGATGAGCTACAGACAGTTGACCTGAAGGCATTTCTTGATGAACATTTCTGTCTGCTCTCAGACTTGAAAAACTCAACCTTTTCAAGAGCTGTATGGGAGAAAAATGTGTAAGACTAATATTTATAGGCTGAAAGAAAGGGGAGAAGAAAGACTAAAGTGTAAAACTTGCTTCCAGCAAAAATGCCATCCCTCTTTTACCTCTGATAATTAGAAGCATTTCTGACATGGCTACAAAAGCAAGTTAGTGGTGTGTGCCTGCCATTTGCTGTGCTTTTGTACTGCATGACTGTTTTCCTTTTTGTATGGTGATGCTTTCTTCTATTTTGTTTTAAGACAAAACACAAATTTCAGCTGATACTCAACTATGACATTATGATTCATCCGTACTCCTTCATTTTAAACTATTACTTCCAAGTACTTACAAATGATTGTTTATAAAAATGGAAGGTTGTTATTTGAGTTCACATTTTTGAGTAGTTTTTCATAATGTTTAGCAAAGCTCATGTGCCTAAATCCTTTCATTAATAGTTCTAACTGAAATCATACTGGAAGACTAGAAGGAGGAGAGGTTTTAACCGTGCCATAGTTTTCACCGGGAAAAGATCTTGGCTATATTAAGAAATACAATAGTACTGATTGTAACTCTAATAGGAAATTTAGAGGATATTGCAAATAGTTTTTAGTGGTGCCTTAAAGAGTATACTGTATTTTATGCCCCCTGAATGTAGGTCTAAGACTTTAGTCTTTTATTATAAAAATAACGTGTGCAGGCATAGAAATGCACCAAATAATTAAAAAAAAAAACAAAAAACACAAAAGCCAACAAAAACCAACCAACAACAAAACCCACCAAAAGCCACCCTGTTTTAAAACTGCGTTCCTGAAAATTTCCTGGAGACTTCCCTAGACTTGGATTCTGGTTTAAAAAAATAAAATAAAAAAATCACTTTTCTGTTCCGTGAAGAAACTTGGGAAAGAAGTTCCTTGCTGTGCCTTCAGGTCACGTGGCCTCGCTGCTGTAGAGCTGGAATGTTTGCCATGGTATTTCCGGAGGCTTCATAAACACACAGAAAGAACAGGGGGGGTTAGGAGGATTTTTTTTTTAATTATTATTTTCTCCCCACATTCTCACTTTTGTTTTTTTTTTTTTTTTTGGCAGCCTAAATTCATTACACTTTTAGGTGTAGGTTTTTTTAGGAATTCGGAGGAATTTTTATCTGATCAGTCCAATGAATTTTAAGGCTTCATCTGTTTTTTTAAAGAAAAAAGTTAAGAGACATTTGGCACTTTTTAATTGCTGAATTTGTCTAGAATTATTTCTTACTTAATGTAATACCTGGCAATCTACATATTCAGCCTAACTCTGCTATTTAGACGGTCTTAATGGTTTACTTTTGGCACGTGTCACTGTGAGTGGCATTCAGTAATCTGACTTGATAGCTGTCATCTTGCAAGCTAGAGTAATGCAAACAAAAGATGAGCACTCAAACAAGGTTACAGCGAAGAGCCATTTCCTAAGTCCTGCTGCGGCGGCGTAGAATCCCCAAGTCAAATCAGAAAAGCACAGAATTAGTTCTGGCTCCTGGGATATCAGGGTTAAGATTATGCAAACCTCTTCTTTCTAACTGTAGGAATGGCACATGCTCCTTTTGAGACTTTGCAAACACCAGCTCGAACTGGGAGGACCTCTGTGTTAGTCTGTAATGTCATGGATACGTTACGTCTTAGTGGCAAGGTGGGCTGAAGGAGACCCTGTAGTCCCTCTTATACCCCGGGCTGGCAGAGATGCATCTTCTCCTCCTCCTCTTCCCTTCCCCTTCTAGCTGAGCTGAGCTGCCTGTTGAACGAGGGCAGAGACCTGATCCTTTTTAAAAATAACCCAGCAAAAATGGGGAGGGAGGGGGAGGATGAATGGACTATTTCTAGCTTAACCGATTCCGTTTGCTACACAGTACCATAAAGCTGTCCTAACGCTACCAGGAGGGGTGGGGAGAGGGCAGTGCAAGGGGAGCTGGTAACAAGCAGCCCGAGGTAGGACCGGCTTGTTCCAACTTTGCCACTGCAAAAAATCACCCCAGCAACATGGCTGTGTATTCCATGAGGCTGCTCAGGGCATGGTCAATGGAAGGTTTCTAACCGTATCAAGATGGGCTTGTTGCTCGGTCAGATTATTAATTACATCAGAAATTACAAAAAGGCAGCATAGTTTGGCTTAGAGCTTTCCTTTAAAGTACGAAACAGTAGGGTTTTTTCCCCAGATTCAGGCCCTGAATTGGCATACCGAGGAGGAGCCTCGGTAGATCTGGAATTGAGCAAGGGTTCTGCACGTTGACAGGGCTTCCTCGCTCCTTCCTCCTCTCCCCTACCAAACTTTTCGAAGCCCATCTTTAAGTGTGATTAATTATTTAATGATACTCTCCTGGTGTGGAAGTGTAGCATCATTTACTTTATTAAAGTAAGACTTACATTTTGTTTCAATAAAATATGTAATGTCTGATTGCCACAGGTGCCATATTGTCTGACTCCTGCGGGTACCCCCTCAGACCTGTGTGCACACAGCAACACAAATGTTGGACAACAGAAGAAGGGAAAGAAGGAAGAGGAGCAAAATCATGAACTGAATAGCTGGGATGATCTTAGGGTAGAAAGAATAAGGCAAAGACACAGCAGGAAAAAAGGCTGGAGTTTTGAGGAAGGGACATTGTCCCTCCTAAAACCAGCTTTGTTGACAGAAATAGATGTAAGAAAATATGGGCATCTTCCCATCTAAAAGAAGATGGGAAGAACCAGTTGAGGTGGCTGTAGTGATAATTTTGGAAGTGCTCCCATGCTGTAGGGGTAGGCAGATGGGGTACAGCAATTGCTGTCTAGGCCACTGATGTTTGAGTCACTACTTCTGTTTGCGTGCATTTCTGCAATTTCAAATCTGTACAGCTGAGTTGAGGCATGCTTCGAGTCTGAAGGTAGCCAGCTGAACTGGTAATGTTGCCACTGTTTTCTGGGTGCTCTGCCCCTTGTCATGTCAGTATTGGGGTGGGGACTGAGGAATGGAGTCCCTTTTTTTTCCCCCTGCTTACCTCAGTGGTTATTGGTATAAAACTCTTGGATCCTGTGACATAAAACGCATACTATGGTAATTGGTCAAAGTCTTCTGGATTGGTCTGGTCTAGAATGGTGGTACCTACTGGTCTGTAACTAGGGCAGTTAGAGGGAATGGTATGGAGCTAAGAAGTAGTCCTGAAGCTATTGGACTGCTATATGTGGGGAAAAACATACTGTTTCAACGATCAGCTTAAATATAAATGCTCTAGTACTTATAAGGTGTCTTTTGTAAAAGTAAGCTGTGATTCAAAGGCAAACCGTGTTTTAAGTTGAGCATTATCTGCTTGTGTAGGGTTTGGGTTTTTTTTCCTCCCCAAATGAACATGTAGAAATTTGGAGAAATACCCAAGAAATCTTGTACATTATAACTGAGTAAAATGTTGGTAACTTCTTACTTGAGTTGTCTTCGGTGCTGTGCTTTTTACTAAAATGCTGTAGCACCTGAAGTTTCAGGTGAAAAAGGGACACAAATCCACCTCTTTAGGTTGCGGAAATAGTGTACAAGAGCTTCCTTTTTTTGGAGATGTTCCAGTGTTTTGTCTTGTTCCTTAGCATATCTCACTGGTTTGTAGCTTCTGTGCCTTTATGAGAATGTGCAAAGAGTTTTTACAGTTAATTTTGCAGTGATAATATGTATATCTGAATAATACTTTTCAAGCCATTTGGCTTTGCCCCTTGCCATCTAAGACTTCCCAAGCCTTTATAAGGAAACTTTGTTTAGGCAGGCCGACAGGAATCATGGTTGAAACTTGTTCTCAAAAGCTCCGTGTTCTTAATTGCCCTTGACAGTGGTTGGAAAAGATGTCACTTCAACATAGTGAAAAGCAACCAAAATAAATTATAATTTTAATGAAGGATTCTCTGTCTGGATGAATTGATACTGGCAGGACAGTATTGGTTAAAAATAGAAGATCCTTCTGCAGACACATTGCAGTT